AAAAGTAATGGGGTTGCGAAGTAGAAAAAAATTCATAAAAACTTTAAATTAGGGTCATAGTATAGTAGTTACTCGACATCCTTACCATCTTGTAACTTACATAGTTATTGGAGATGTTTTGACTATTATCTGCAAATCGCAAAGACCCGTGATTTTTCCTTTTCAAAGCGCGTGAAATGGCATGCATGAGTAAATGAATGAATGAATGAATAAACAAATAAATAAATAAATAAACAAGTAGGTAAAACTCACCAAATCGAAAAATGCTAACGCTCTTATATACATAAACGGTACCGTTTGCAGAGATGGACTTTGTAAAGTACGTAGATTTAAAATATTACCCATAACGCCTAACAAACAAAACATTATCTGGAATGAAGTAGTAATTAGGTAGTACAGCACTTTCACTGAGACATTTAATGATTACAAAGTGTTCACCTGTAAAATAGTGAATGTACTTTTCATATGAGCCATTTGAAGCGCAAATTCCTCGGTGACATTGGAAAGCAAGGATTCGGGATTACAGAAAGCGTGCATATTCAAAAATACCTGAAAAATACGATTACAACAGTTAAACCAGTAAACATATTCAGGAATAAATACAGTATGGACAATAAGACTGTACAGTTCGATTTCCGTGGAATGTTGCCGTGACTCAACTGAGCGTCCATCACGCAGGAGAAACGTACATTATCTTACTCAATTGGTAAAAAAAAAGTAAAAAACGGAGGAATGCACAGCTTCCCTGTTTATACGAAAGTAAAAACACGATTAGATGACACATACTATTTCAGGAGCGAACTCTTAGCACACTGTAAACATCAGTTCCACCTCATAGAAAGATGGAAAAGTACGGAAACGTTTTCCTGCCACTTACTCTATTATATTTCATGCTATTGATATGATATGATATGACATGATATGATATGATATGATATGATAATGATATTTTTGACATTGATATGGTATGGTATGGTATGGTATGATATTTTCGCTTTTTTACTGCTCGTTCGAGTTAGTGCTCCTGACGAGTTGCTCCTATTAACTGACAATTACCACCACGACTTACAAAAAGTCAACCAAAAGCTATCACTAAGACGTCATTGCATGAAGGTTGAGCCCCCTAATTTTTCTCATAACTTTAAAACCAAAGTAATTACAATGCATATCTGAAATTGCAAAGAAATTTGGCAATTGACCATCTTCCCTTTCGATATTCTTTTACTCACTACTACTTCTACTTCTTACAATACACTTCACTGCAGAGAGAGACTGTACTGAACTGAGGAAAGTTCAGAAATGGTACTGCCGAAATCCTTTTCTTAACATCCACGCTTGATGTGCTTCGATTTGGCAACATTGCAAAAGTCGAAGAACTATGTGGGTACTATAAAGTAGTATTTGTGGCGTTGAGAAATAAGACAATTGCGGGAAATACCTGAATATTACCTGAATATGAAATAAAAGGGATCATTATCAAACAGCCGCTCATGAATTTCCTAATTCAATCAGGAACATAGAATGTGTTCAGAGAATACATAGATGTAATTTTCTTACAGTAATGCCGGTTTTAGCAAGCTCTCCTCGAAAGTTTCATTCGAGTAATGATGCTCCCAATTTTTGGTGTAGCGGCTAGAAGCTTACTGTGGCATCTTTAGGGAAAAAGTTTTCGATCATAAGCTTTGCAAAGCCACACGCTAAAGCTGCAAACTACTTTTGTAGAAACAACTTTCGGAGACCGAGGACTCTCATGCCCAGCGGCAAAATATGAAAAGCTTGGAGTTGTTTCAGGTCATTAGCTCTTGAAAGTGAGATGTACAGTCTGTTAACGCTTTCTTAGACTTTCTGTGATAACTCCGGTCTCAAGCAAAGACCTCAACGATAAGGGGCCGGTAGCTACTATGTAAGGTTGGCTTGAAGGNGAACTAAAAATTGCTAGGATTCCATCAGCTATCCGGCATATGAGCTCCGGCAATCGAAACTACCTCACAAAACGTGGCCCTGAAATGTTTCGAAAATAGAGTCATAGACCTTTCTCCTGTTCAACTTTTTTTTTGAACAATTGGAAAGTTGTTGTTTCCAACTTTTTGGACCACACCAAAAGAGCTTTTGTCAAAAAAGTAGCCTTCAGTAAGGAAAAAAAGGAAAAAACGATAGTCGGGGAGTGGTTTTGAAGTTGCATGTAAACACGGCGCATCAAAGGAAATCAAGTGGTCAACACCTGTTACTATTTTTTATGGCTAGTAGAATGAACGGATACATGAAACAAAAACGAAACAGAAGGAAAGAAAGGAAACACGTGAGAGTAAGTAGAGGGCGGTAGTAGTGAATGGCCTCCTAACAAGTCGGAAAGGTGTATGCCTTGAAATTCAACGCAACTCAAGAACTCATGCGATTGATAGGCGTGTACGGCACCAACAAAGAGGCAATGAATAATTTGGGACAACGGAATGATATCGAAGGGAGATCTACATCACAGTAATAAAGGGATATTTCACTTTGAATTTTTTTTTTGAAATCTCTTCAGAAATTCTCCATTGCAACATTTTTCGGGGCAGACGAAAGGGCAATCCAAGCTTGAGGCCTAGAATTGTTAGGCTGATAGGCTTTCACTCGCTGCACAGCTGGTTTCCTACAATTTTTTGGTAAGCCAGTTTGAAACCGAAGTTGTAACAATGTCTCTTTCTCACATTCGTTTTAGTATTCCATGTGAAGCGGTTGATATGTCGCAGACCACCTTCAGACTAAAAAGTTGAGAGATTGCTCACAGCTCTAGAGAGTTTTGAAATGAAGGTGAATGGTTTGATAAGGAAGAGTACTACGAATGGCTTCAGGCATTCAGAAGGGATGCCTGACGAGCCGAGCACTACACGCTCCAATAAATTTCATATGAAGAAGTGCAATGACATGACTCATACATAATAAAAAATATATGGCGTTTCTCTTCAATTCCGGACGTAATGAAAATATTGTAAGGCTTTGAAACATATTCAGAAGGATTAAAAGCCTTGAGGAACTTCTTCGTAAGTGCAACTTATCTGACTTCTATTCAAAGCTGTCTGCACTTATGAGCCATACAGCAGCCTTCAGGGACAACCTAGTATATGCCCTTGGCCTCCCTAACCTTCTCTTCAAAAACTGCTACTCGAGTTAAGAATTACAGGTTCCTTATAATTGGCAATACCGATAAGAGGTAGTAATCGTAACAAGCGCATGGTGGTGGCGTTACTCAGACACCCTACCCTGCCCCTCACTTTCTNCCCCCCCCCCCCCCCACCTCTTCACCACCTTGAGCTTCAAGCTTCTATAAAATGAGTTCACTGAAGTGACTTCATGTGAGCTATCAAACAGTGATCTCTACGCCTTCAACTGAACAAAGGGGTCTTCTGTAATCACCATCTTTCGAATTAAAAGCTGTTCATTTTGAAAAAGAGCTTTAATCGGAAAGAAGAAGTAAAGGAAGGTGTGATGTAGCAGCGGAAGACTATTGTTACTCTCGAAATGTACATGAAACTGTTATAATTTCCCTGTTTCACCTCGACCTCCCACAAATTCTTTATGGAAGTGCCGAACAGGGCAACGATCCTTTGAGTTCCACTAAATCTGTAATATGCAATTATATGGGATCCAAAATCAGCCGATTTCTTACAACTGTCTCCTCAAACACATCCATCTCCCTTTTTTCTCGAATCAGAGCAAAGGCGACAGTGAATGCAAAATGACTGCCTTCAACGGAGACAAGTTGAATGGTTTGGCCTTGTTGAACTTGTTTTTTATCGTTTCCGGCGAGCGCTTGCAATGCAAACAACGAGATTGAGGTATCCATCAAACCATGTACCATTCGACCTCAAGGTTTTCGATGTGTTGCGAGTTATCTGTACGATTCAAGGAAGAGGCATGCATACGTCAAGTGGGCTAAGTGCCTCGTAAAACGTATAACATAGAAAGTGTCGAAAATCCGATGGGAGAAAGAGCAGAAGTACAAGTACAATCGACAGGACTTGTGTCATTGGACTGGGGCACTCAAAAATGGGATTGCTCCCTTACTGAATCCAAATCACAGCCAGGTTGTGAAGTCGTGAAATCAAAATCTGAAGAGATGAAACCCCAGACTTTGTCCTGTAGCGAGCAAGGACCTTACCTTTCAATAACTACGGCTAGAAGGGATGAGGTGTAGTTGGAATAACAGTTCTTGAACGAGTGAGAAAACGAAGGTCCCTTATTATCCCAATTTGAATTAT